GTGCAATGCCAGCATACTTTGTGGTAGCCCAGGGTGTTATGAATCCCAGTTTGGAATGACTCTGGCCTCCACTGTGCCCAATCCTGTTACAGATTTAATAGATCAATGTGTAGAATAGTGGCAGTGTTGTATGGTTAAACATGATAATATGGCATTGCCCTGGCCCCAGTCTCTTTCTTGCTGAGGTTCACTGTCTCCTGTAATAATCCTTGTTATTTTCTGAAATATTTATTTAGTCATTTTGAGAGAGAGAGAATGAGTATGTGTGCACACACACAGAGGGGAGGGCAGAGGGAGAGGGAGAGAAGCTTAAGCAGACTCCCCACTCAGCATGGAGCCCAACATAGGGCTCAATCTCATGACCCTGAGATCATGACTTGAGCTGAAACCAAGAGTCAGACGCTTAATTAACTACACCACTCAGGCACCCCTACTCCATGTTATTTTAATTGGAGTTTCAGTAGTTAGTTTCATCCCTAAGCAAGAATATTTGTTTCCAAATGAAATAATGAAAAAGCTTTTTCATTACTCTCAAACACTTATTCTTCAACCTCTTTGTTTTCTGACTTGAGTGAGGATACCTAGTCATTTGATCATAATTAGTTGAATACCTGCTGTGCTGTTCTCTCAAAAATATTTTTTTTCTCAAGACCTTGTCTAGAATATGTCCATAATACACCCTTTCTGACCTTTCTAGTCTGCTAACAGGATAACTGTGTGAATGATCTTTAAGATGAATATTACACTTAACATAGGCTCTCAGGTACTACATGGATAATAAACAATTTTATATCTTCTTTGGTTTTATGAACTGCATGCTACTGCCATAAGACGCTCACTAAATTATCATGCCAGACTTCTAAGGGTCCATTCATCTGAACTAAAATTAAATTGTGAGGTGATTGGAGTCTGAGACCTGTGTTCAAATTCTGGGCCCCATTGACCAACCGTATAACCTTAGACAAGGCACACTAACTGAAGCATTTCCTCAGTTGCGAAACAGGATACTTATAGTGCCTCCCACAGAGAGTTGGTATGAAGCTTAAGTGACCTAATCCACATAGAAGTTGCATCGCCATATTCTGTAATCATTCAGTACATGGCAGCTCTTAGTTTTTACTCCCTGCTCTCCTAGTTTCCATGCTTTTTTAGCTGTCCCAAATTCTGTAGCACTGAGAACATTGGAATTTAATAAAGTGAAGCTTGGAGCTCTGGTTTTGCTTAAGAAGCTATTCCTACTTGTATCAGTGAGGAATATCTTCTGTAAAACAACAGAAAAATCTGACTGTTAGTAGTTTAAATAAGTAAAGATTAAAAAAAAATTATCTGGAGGTGGATGCCCCATGGAGCTATTTCACTCTACACTGTCTGCTCCTCTGAGATTTTTCCTCTTGAACTTCCCTAGTTAAGGCAGGAACAAGAAGGAGAAGGGACAGGAACCTACTACCCCTGTTTCTTTTATCAGGAAAATAAAAGCTTCCTCAGAGATTTCTGCTTAGGAATCATTTGCCAGGGGGTTGTCACGTGACCATTCCTACCTGCAAAGAAGTAAACTGAGTCCATGCCTTCTGCAGCCTCTACTGTAAAAGCAGGCATGGGAAAAGGCAATTGACCGGGTCACATAGTCACCAGCGCTTGTCACACTGGGTTTAAAACTTTTCTTTGAATTAGAAAGCAGTGGCGTGTGTATTGAGATTATAGGTTCCTTTACCCTGAAGCCCACAACTGTTCATGCAGGCTTCCATAAAACCATTTATTAAGGTAAGTTGCCACCCCCTCCCACCTCTTCCAAAGAGCGGTATCCATTGGCAACTTCTAAGCCCCTGAAAAGTACCCACATCACTTCTTTTCTTTCTGCCACATTCCTTTTGCTTAAATGGAGGCAGGTGACTCTGGGCCTTGCGGGTTAAGGGAGGGATATCTTCCTGGAGGTCTGCCTGCTGGGAGATCCCAGCCTTCTTGTGGCACAGAAGCCATCTGGAGAGCTGGGCATTACTGCAGTACAAATTTGATCCTGAGCCCAGTGAGGAACGTAGGGGAGAGGAAGTGGGCCTAGAGGAGGGTGTTAGTAAACACCGCTACCAACATTTCACTATACAAAGCAAAAAACCTGGGCACCTGGGTAGCTCAGTGGTTGAGCGTCTGCCTTTGGCTCAGGTCATGATCCGGGGATCCTGGGATCAGTCCTACATCGGGCTCCCTGCAAGCAGCCTGCTTCTCCCTCTGCCTGTGTCTCTGCCTCTCTGTGTGCCTCTCATGAATAAATAAATAAAAACTTAAAAACGGAAAAGCAAAAACAAAACAAAACAAATAAAGAAAATCATTTATTTCATTTCATTGTTGGAAGGATACAAATACATGGTGATATGTATGCAAATATACCTATGATCTCACCTTCCAACTGCCACCCTTGATAAATTGACATTTTCCTTTGTTCCTTCTTTCATGGATCCTGGCCCTTTCCCTAGACATACATGACTTTGACATGGCTTCAGTAATAATTAAGATGTAATGTTACAATTTGCCTTCTTCCCCCCTCCTCTGAACATTAAGATTGATTGATTCTTAATGGAGGTCCTTGAGATAGCAGGACACTTACCTACATACTTTTCTATTCTACTCTCCTGTTTTGTTTCAGGTGAAAGCTAAACTTCTTACTTTGTTTAAAGGGTATTTATTAAAATAGCAGGATGGTAGCTTAATTGCTTTTAGATCTCTGTTTTGTGAATTGGATGGTTTAAACTTGATTAATGATGTAGTGCCTTTGACAGTTTATTTATTCTGAATAAAGCGGCCTTACTGTTTATTTAGAATTAGTTGTTTATGATTCACCCTGCCTCATTTTAGTAGTTACTTTGGACATTCGTGCATTGTTACTAGTTAAGCAAAAGGCATCATCCAAAATGTATGCCTGGGGCTGTTCATTGAGGCTGACACCATAAGGTTTGGGTATTCTTTATCAAGTGACCCTTTTCTGCAGCAATGAATTACTTTGGACAGAACTCAAGCCCGTGATGGGAGTGTGAGCTGTTTGATGTCCATATAAAATCTTTTAATACCTTTGTCATTTCCTCTAATGCATGGATTTACAAAAGCCTGAGGGGACTTAGTATTTATTGAAGATGGAAATTGGCATGAGCAGTCAGTAACAAAATGAATTAATATATGATCTATTTTATGAAGTCCATTGTCAATGTAATTTAAAACATTAAAAAAAAAACCACAATAAACCTCTCAGATACTGTCCTGAAACCCTTCTTATGCCATATGGCATATACACATTTTATTTTGAGTGACTGTATTGTACTTTTATGACATAAATAGTTTCTTCTCTTGCTCTTTAGGGCATTTGCTTTAGGATGAATTTTTGGTACTTCCAGTAACTTACACATGATCTGGCTTTTCTATTATAAATGCATTTTAAAGCTTACAGTATCTTAAACTCTTTGCTGTGTGAGGTTTTATCCTCCCTTACGTTGATGTATTTAGTGGGAAAAAAATAGTTTGGAGATTCAGACTCTTGTTTTATGTAATTCATTGCAGTGGTACAAGTGGTGCTTGTGTGTTTCCACTGACAAGGCGTGTTTTTCATAACTCACTGTCTTTCATTTCCTTCCTTACACAAAAATAGAATTATAGGCTGTTATACCTTTTATGCCCTAGTCCCTCTCTTTCTATTTGCATTGGAGAATGCCCCAAGTCTTAAAATATTACCCCCTACTACTGTGACTTATGTTTACCTTGGACGGTGCTTCCTTGATACATGTTGTGGACCTAAGTGTGAATCATAAGAGGCTCTTGTTCCAAACTATGCTGAAGGTGCACAGAGAGGGGCCAGTCTACATTACAGGATGCACCCTGTCACCGAGGCTTGCTCCTGCTCCTGATGAACTGGGTTGTTCATCCAGTGCCCTAGCTGGGTCCCTTTCCCCAGCTTTCTCCTGGAGACTGGTTTGCTTTGCATGTGAATAACCCTTTCCAGGGCATTTGTTGATCTCCCTATGAAATTCTTGCCCTCTTTGTTCTTTCTTTGGAGTGGTCATGGAAGGCATACCTGTTGCTCTTGGGCACTTCCACCATACTGGCACTTCCCATTCAGATCTTGCTCCCTGTGACTTAGTGGTAGTTTCCCAGGACTTAAGTCCTTGCTTAGTGTAGTGAAGAGGTAGTGAAGTGAAGTCTTGGCTTCTGCCTTTCCCTTTTTATTTTGCTTCTCTCTACTCATCAATTCCCTAAATTTAGGGGAGAATCGTGGCCATTTTTTTTTTATCTTTGAAGATACATAATTATAGGTCCAAAAGTAAAAAGCTCATGGCTATTTTAATGGTTCATTTCAGTTTGTAGCCTTGAAAGAGATTCACAGTATATTGAGGGGAGGGTTGGGGCAGAGAATATAGCCATGGTCAAGTGGAACGAATGTGCATTCCTTTTAAAAGGTTCAGTAAGTTGGTGAGGTTTTGGAGAAAACTGTTGAATACCAGCCAATCTCCAGTTTCATAGGTAGAGAAGGCAGACAATTTGGAATTTTTTTCACATGTCTTAAGACTGAACATCCTCCGACAACATTGGCATTATCCATGCTCATTTATGGGAGAACAAAAGCTATTTCCACCATTATTTCAAAGTTTGGAGGCAGCTCGGAGGCCTTCATTGGACACCTTCAGTAAACCACTCGCCAGATGGAATTGAAGTTTCAGCTTCTCATCCGCCACATGTTGTCTCTGTTCTTTCAGCAAAGACTTGCAGACTCAGAACTGCAATTTTGAGGAAATTTCCTATTCATTATTTTCCCTTGTCTGGTGACCCTGAAGGGGTGTCCAGCTTGAGGCACCATATTATACTAGTTTAGTCCTCTAGAAGAGAATTCATGTGCATAGGCCTTCACGAGTGTGCTGTATTGATAGGATGCAGTGTTTTCCAGCACAGATTCCTAAAGCCCACATCCTGACACATGTACTGTTGATATAGGCAGCATGCTAATGGCCTCTTCGATTTTGCAGGAACTGACAATGGCGAAGTCCTCCCTGAGTCCATCCCCTCAGCTCCTGGGACCCTGCCTCATTTCATAGAAGAGCCAGACGATGCTTACATCATCAAGAGCAACCCCATTGCACTGAGGTGCAAAGCAAGGCCGGCCATGCAGATATTCTTCAAATGCAATGGCGAGTGGGTCCATCAAAATGAACATGTCTCTGAGGAGAGTCTGGATGAGAGTTCAGGTAAGAATGTGAAGCAATTCTTAGATCCTCACATGGTGGCTCTTTAGATCCTCATGTTGTCTCTGGCTGATAAAAGCTATGGGGGCCACCCACCAGTGCTTTATTTGAATAAGGTCCTATTGACATCATCCAGGAATACAAGGTGCTATTGTATATTTAAATGACTCCACAGCAACTTTGCTAGTTGACTCTAGGAGAGTAAAGGGGCATTTTTATTTCCCCCCTCTATATAACTTTAGCACCCAATTTTGTATGGAAGCTAATATTCTCACTGGAAATAAGATCTACCAGTCATTGCTTTCATATTCTCAATTCTAAATATTTTGGAAGGCAAATCTTTCACCAAACACCTTTTTTCAGCAGCATGATTTCAGTTTCTTTAAACTTTCCTCCTAGATCTTATTCTTATAACATCATTCTCCATGGTTGAGGGTTTCTGAATCTTCTTTAGGTTCTGTGTGATGACAGAGCCCAAATCTGAGTGCTAAAATGAATAGTATCTCCATTATGAAAGAATTTAGGGGCTGTCTTTATTAATTTGGCTAACTTAGCCTATGGGGATGATGAGAATAATGATCATACTGGCTAGTGTTTATTGAACACTTACTATGTACCAGGTCTTATCTAAGCATTTGACAGACCTTTTCTCACTGTCTTTCCAACAGCCCTCTGGGATAAATCATACTGTCATTACCTTCTTTTAGATAAGGAAACTGAGACTCAGAGACACTAAGCAAACTACAGGTTTGTACTGAATCTGAAAGCAAGATTATTTGACTTCAAACTTGCAAAATTTAAGGGTGCCTGGGTGGTTCAGTTAAGTGTTTGACTTTTGATTTCAGCTCAGGTCATGATCTCAGGCTCTTGAATTGAGCCCCATGCTCAGTGCTTCCTCCTCCCCCTGCTTGTGCATGCTTGCTTACTTGCTCTCCCTAAAATAAATAATACATTTTAAAAAACTTGCGAAATTTGTAACTTGTTAAATTTTAGTGTGTAACAGAAACAGTATATGCTTTTGAACTTTGGCTCCTCAGACCACCTGAAAATTTAGCCTCACCCTAAAACCAATCTGTTCTCACTATAGATTTTTGCTCTTACTCTTCCAACTCACTCTCTAGATAACAGATTTTGAATAAGTCAGAAAGCCTGAGTATAATTAGGAGTTTCAAGTCAGCTTAATGTATTAACTCTATACCACTGCTACTCAATGCGAAAGGCCTTATATAGTGTCCGAAGAAAGCGAAGACACAGTGATCTCTGGGACTTTACACCTACTGATATGGAGAAGTCCAATATACCCATAGATGTACTTATCCTATGGAGCATTAAAAAAAAAAAAAAAGCTTATGACTTTTTTTTCTGATAATTAGGATTATCAGAAAAGGCGTGGAAGCAATAGCATTTGTTTTTTTAAGATTTTATTTACTTATTCATAGAGACACAGATAGAGGAGGGGGGGGCAGAAGCAGGCTCCATGCAGGGAATCCAATGTGGGACTCGATCCCGGGTCTCCAAGGATCACACCCTGGGCTGCAGGCAGCACTAAACCACTGCGCCACTGGGGCTGCCCAAGAAAGAGCATTTGAAAGGAATATTGATGATTCCTTAATTCAAAGTAAGTGAGTGAATTAATTTATTAATTCTATACTAAATAGGAGATAGAGAGAGAGAGAGAGAGATCTGTGGCCTGGAGGTCAACATTAGCAATGAAGGAAAGCTTAGTGGGTGGCTCAGTGGTTGACCATCTGCCTTCAGCTCAGGTTGTGATCCCAGGGTCCTGGGATCAAGCCCTGCATCAGGCCCTGCACAGGGAGCCTACTTCTCCCTCTGCTTATGTCTCTGCTTCTCTGTGTATCTCTCATGAATAAATAAGTAAAATCTTTTAAAAAGAAAGCAAGAAGTCGGGATCCCTGGGTGGCGCAGTGGTTTGGCGCCTGCCTTTGGCTCAGGGTGCGATCCTGGAGACGCGGGATCGAATCCCATATCGGGCTCCCGGTGCATGGAGCCTGCTTCTCCCTCTGCCTGTGTCTCTGCCTCTCTCTCTCTCTCTCTCTCTCTCTCTCTCTCTCTCTGTGACTATCATAAATAAATAAATTAAAAAAAAAGAAAGAAAAAGAAAGCAAGAAGTCTGATTTGGTTGAAAGAGAAAATGGATGTGGAAACTGGCCAATTTAGTTCAATCAAGGGCTTAAAAGGCCTCACTTATAAGTGAGCAGTTCCTTACTTAATTTCACGAATATGGGCAGGGTGGGATTGATTATATTGACATATGGGAATGCAGTGGCTGGAGCTCTGCTTTTAAGATGGAATCTGGTACAGGTGTTTGGAATGGTAAGAAGAAACAAGAATGGATGAGTTAGGAGACTGGGATATTTCAGTTGAGTTGAAAGAAAAGTCTGGCCTCCAGAGTGGTAGCCACAGAAATAAGAACTAGATTTCTGGTGTGAGAAGCACTTTAACCAATCAGACTTATTAGCTGGTGCAATGAATGAATGAAAAGATGGAGGAGTAACAGTCTCAACAGAAGCAGAAGGGGAGGATGCTATTGATGTAAATATATTAGCAAGGAGAGAAGGCTGAGATCTTTGGACAAGCTGAATTTGAAATATTTGTGGGATATAATGAAGAGATGTAGATATGGAGTTTATAGAGTTCAGAGATAGAAGAGTCAATTTGGTCGTCATAAAGAAAGGATGAAGCCATGGAGACAAACGAGTTGTCAAGAGAGAATGGGCAACATGAAAAGAGAATGGATCCAGAATGCTACTTCCTTGGGAGTCAGTAGGGGTAATATCACCAGCCAACAAAGAAGCATACAGGGTGAGAGAGTATGCTCTGCTCCAAAGCAAAAAGTGAAACTTTTTCCAAAAGATCTTCAGGTGATGCTGTTTCTGCCTGGGAATCAATAAAGAAGGCAAAGAACTAAACATATATAAACAGTGCTAAGCATCATACAGTTCTGAACTCATCTGGGATTACATAATTTCAAAAGGTAGAGAAACACCTAAAACCTTATCACAATTCCCTCTTGCAGTTTGGACCTGGTATAAAGAAGGAAAAAAAAAAGTGGCTATTTTAGAGATGTTGTTCTGCAGACCAAAAGCATGCTTATAATTCTGCAATTTAAATGTGAGAACTGGAAGGGACCTTAGTAATAATCTAACAGCCCTATTTTATGCAATAAAAATCTTAAATTCCAAGAGCTACAACTAGTTTATGGCATAGCTATTTCTAGAACCCAGATCTCCTGGGGCACCTGGCTGGCTCAGTCAGTAGAGTGTGCAACTCTTGATCTTGGGGTTGTGAGTTTGAGCCCCACATTGGGTGTAGAGATTACTTAAAAATAAAATCTTAGAAAAATAGAACTCAGGTCTCCTGCTTTCTGCTTCAGATATAGTCCGTCCAGACTATAAGCCACATTTACATACTACAGTTTCCTGTTCTCCTGTGTAGTCAGAATATTGACAAATTCTCTTACTGACATGAGGATGGGTTTCAGCACATGGCTTCTCATTTTCATCATGTGCCTGTATTTCTGCTTCCCAAGTGTATAATCCCATAGTCATTCCATTGGGATTTCTCTATCCCTCAGCACTTCTGCCATCTTTGTGAAGGCTAATCCTTTATTCTAAGTCATGTGTCTGGTGCTGTTAGGCAAGAATTTATACCAACTGAAAACAGACATTTCTACGATTGCAGGTATAATGTCCTTCTTAAAGAAAGGGTTTGGCATAATCAAGGCAAAGGAGGAAGACAAATCAAATCTTGGTGTCAGCAAAGTTTCTTCTTTTATGCTCCCAGGATTGAGATCTTAAATATTTCTTGCATTGAGAGAGACTGAGTCACAAACAGAGTAGCCCCATTTACCTTGGTGTGAAAACTTCAAAGGAGGTCTCTGAAATCTGGGAAAGAACAACAAAGGGAATAGCATTTGCCATGTGAGCAAAAGCCTGTAGAACAATGGGAGACTATGAAAGGCTTATATGTCTTATATTCAATTAGTCCAGCTGGAAAGGACTCAAGTTCCAGTGGCTCAGTGAGGCTCTGTGTTTTATTGTCAGATGTTTCTGGCCTAGATTTTGTCCCATAATGAACTCAAAATAGCAGAATCCCATTGGGTAAACTCCAAATGAAAGCTAGGAAGAACATTGAAAAATGGCCAGGCATTTTTTTTTATACCACTCCTAGAAAATCCTATATCCATTCTCATCGAAGGACCTCTCGATAAGTATTGCAATCCAATTTAACACTGCACCCTCTTGTAATTTTGCAATGTTCTGTTTTGCTATTGCTTCCCCCTTTTAATTCCTCTAGCATTGCTAGGCAACTCCATGTCTTGGAGATAGCAGCGCTGATTACATTCTCTGTTTCCATGTAAAAGTTGCCCCTCTCCACTTAAAAAAAAAAAAAAAGGAAAAAGAAAAAAGACCAATAGAAGTCACAAATTTCAAAGAAACTGGAAAGAATAAGGATTCATAAATGGCAAAACCTGAAGAGATTATATACCAATTTTTTGTTGAGAAAGAATTTAAATTTTAGCAGCTACCTCTTTGAAAAGAATTTAATAAGCACAACCTTTTCTTCCAAGTCATTTTGATTGAATCAATAGGAAAAAAAAAATGTTTCGCCCTAAACAGTTTTCTTCTGTACTTAATGAAAATCACTGTCTACTGCACACTGCAATTATGTTTCCTAAGGTCTGTATTAATAGAGAAATAGTGGAAAGTGGAGCAAGATGAGTGGAGATGGTGTATGCCAAACCAATACATCAGTGCAATTAAGGCTGGAAACAAAATGGCCTTCAGTATTGAAAAATAGATGCATTACTTCCCTTGGGGTCTTCAATACTGAGCTTGAGCACAGGGCTTGACTACCTTTACAGACTTAATGGCTTTTGATTGGGTTTGCAAAGTAACTCCTGCCAGTCCAGTAGGAGCAAAGGATGCCAAGAGGCCAAAGACAGTAAGACCACATTTGAGCAGAGGTAGAGAATTGCCCAT